GCGGGGACAGGGGAAACGGGATCTGGATTTGAAGTAGGCTGGACGGTAACTCCGTCCACTTTTGTCTTAGGTGCTGGTTTTCTCTTTGGCACCCAAACCTTCTTATGTCTAGGCGGCTTCTTGACCGTCTCTTCTTTCTGTATCTCTTCCGCTTTCTGCAGAAGGACTCGGGCATGCGCGAGCAATGCGCGGCGTTTCTTGATTCACTCTTCGAGAGTGGAGCGAGTCTTCTTAACGCGGACCCATTCCTTCGTCTCCGCCTTAGAGGAGAGGTTGGCGGTTCGCCGTTGCTGTTCTTAGCGCTGCCTTGATTTCAGATCCTCCGTGTAGCGGATCCCGTCCATCGACTCTGCGGCCTTAGCCAATTGTCGCGCAAGGCGTTGACGCCGTCTTTGGCGCGCCCTCTTCGACAAAGCTGGAGCACCTTCAGCAGTTACCTTTACGATGGAGGGGAGGTCCGGATCTGCAACTTTGACCTCTTTGGACGCTACAGGGATGTCACGGGGCATGGGCGCAGCAGCAGCGAGGGGATCTTGGTTCTTCAACCCTGAGGTCCCGCGAGCGTTTTTGGAAGAGGAGGTCTTCCTGCGCCTGTTTGGAGAGGCGGATCTGGAGGAGGAGGAAGAGAGGTACTCTTCAAACTTTTGTTGATCGAATTCGTATTCGATCTCTTCATTCACCCGGATCTTGAATACCGGTTGCGTCACGACAGCGTCGGCAATGAGGCTGTTGGCTCCCACTGTGGTCGCCAGTTTGTTTTCGTAGAAAGTTACCTTCATTGTTGAATTCATTATAATCTGGATCGCTTACAAAGAATTCAAGATATTCAATAAAAAGAATAAGAAAATGAAAGATTACAACTTTTCAAAAACAACGCAAGATCCGTTCGTCGTTTCTTGCTTACGTGGGTCTTTAGCCGGTGACGGGGACGTTGATATCCGTGGACTACCTGGCAATCGGATCAGGTCCAGAACTTCGTCGATCCGCGAAGGAATCTAGAAGCAGAAGCGCTTATCTCGACAACAGCGAGATAATTGCTCTTCTTAGAATTATCACAATAGGATAATACTAAGGATCATATGCGGGTGATGCAGATCTGACGACTCTCGATCTCTTGCGTTGAAGAACTCGATCACTCTTCAGTCCGGTGGGGCTTCGCCAATTCTCCAAAACTCCAGATCTGAAAAAAAGAGGCTCCGGGGCTTGTATTTATAGGCACGGGACGAATCTATGCTGGAGACACCCTCTGGTGTCTCAACTAGGGCCGAGACACCCAAGGGTGTCTCAGTTTAGGCTGAGACGCTCGTTATGCCTGTTTAATTGTTTCCGCCGTAAATTCTTCGTCCGAACTCGGATTTGAGTGATTCCAAGTGCGTTGGAAAGCTGACAAAGAGTTCTACAAGTTCCAATGATTAAATCATCTGCGGAATAAATGAGACATGATGGGTATTTCACCGTTTGTGAACGATACGAGGTTCCCGATCGGTTCATATCTTCATCATTCCGAAGTTCCGTTGTTTCACGTAGTTCGTCGGTTTACTTCAAGCATTCACCGACATCAATCAAGCTTCTGTGTACCAGATGGTGACGTTCATCGTTATTTCTTAACACTGAGCTGTTTGTGGAGACCTATAGGTAATTTTCGATGCCTACAAGTGTCTGATAGTAATTCCTTGGATTCGTCTTTGTTGTTCGCAAGTTTTGAAATTTTAGAATTTCGTAGTACTTTTTTATTATTTGAACTTTTGAGGGTATTTTTATAGTTTTTAAAATATTGAGGGTTTCATGTTTATTGTTTTAAGTTTTGAAACGTCTGGATGTTTTGTGTAATTTTATACTTTTAAGGGTGTTTGTGTAATCTTTAAAACTTTTTGTGATTTTTTGCAATCTTCATATATTATAGCTTATTATTTTTTAAATTATTGACCTGTAAGTAGTTCACATAGGATTAGGATATGATATAATTATGATTATAATAAATTAAATTTAAATAAAATTTTCAAATAATCAAGGGTAATATTGACCATGGAAAGATTTTACTGAACTCGTATAATTTTGAAATTTGATATGTATTGGTTATAAGTTATTAAATTTTAGGGTTTTCTTTGTTTGTTTAAGTTTCGAAGGAGTTTTTCGAAATATTTATAACTTTGAGGTTATCTTTTATAAATTTTAGTTTTTTAGCGTTTGATAGTAATTCCTTGAATTCGTCTTTGTGGTTCGTAAGTTTTGAAATTTCAGAATTTCATAGTGCTTTGTTATTATTTGAACTTTTGAGGGTGTTTTTATAGTTTTTAAAATATTAGGGTTTCATGTTTGTTGTTTAAAGTTTTGAAACGTCTGAATATTTTGTGTAATTTTATACTTTTATGGGTGTTTTATGCAATTTTTGAAACTTTTTGGAGTTTTTTACAATATTCATATATTATAGCTTATTATTTTTTAAATTATTGACCAGTAAGTAGTTCACACATGATTAGGATATGATATAATTATGATTATAAAAAATTAAAATTTAAATAAAATAATTAAATAGCCAAGGGTAATATTGGCCATAAAAAGATTTTCCCGAACTCGTACATTTAAAGGGAGTATGATATTAAGGTGAAGATGAAGATTAAGATGGATGGTTTAGATTGAGTACACATGTCGAAAATTTTTTAGAAGGGAAGAACTAATGCGGCAAGCTCTAGGAAGGTTAAATTCTGAAGGTTTTGTTTTAGAGTATACATTTAGTAACAGATTTGACTGATTTTTCCCTCTATCATAGGAAATCCTTTTTATGGGGTTTCATTGATTTTCTATTTTTTAAGAAAAAAATCTACCTACTTTAGTAATCAGTTCTATTTCTTTGTGGATAATATGGGAATATTTACTCTATGCTTATAATTTTCCATGAGTTCAAGGGTTATCTTCCTTTGTTGATTCAAAGTGCCTTTAATGGATTCTGAGCTTTGTTCTATCATTCAATAATTAACATAATTAATACTGGGGAATGTCCTAATTGATAGGTTCCTTTTTTTTTTAAAGCAAAAAATAGTGTGAGATACCCTATTCATATATCGTTAACACAAAAATACTAACTTAACCTAGAATTGAGTAGTCTGAGGGAAGCAAAGATCAAACAAATCATACCCAAGAAAAGGAAGAGGACCATGGTTGTCACCTATATTTGAGGTCATAGATGTTTGATCTAACCTTAAACTCAAACTAAACCGTTCTATAAAAAGCTAGACAAAAGAAATTACAATATTAGGAGCAATTACAAAGCTCATACTTACATTACGACCAAAATAAAATTTAAAACAGCATGAAACCCAAAGATATGTAATTACAAAAGAAAACGGTGCAAACTAGTGGACGTCTCAGACGTTTTCATCAAATCGATCCGTATCATGAGAGGATGAATCATCTTGCAGCAGCAATTCATGCATGAATAATACGAGACAAGATTGTCTGAAAGAAAGTTGGTGATCACAGGGTGGTGACTACAGTAAATGACAATTAAATGTTGGAATGAGTTTCAAAATGAGAAGTGCGGCTGTTCATCAATTAATTGAATTCTCCCTAGATCTCTTTGTCCCATTGATCCAATTCTTTCTTTTCTCAAATCTAATGTAAAGAAAGTTCACAATTAATTGCATAATCTAAATTTTGGTGGCACTTTGATCTTTTGTCAGATGACATTTAAGTGAATGCCAGACTGAAATTGCATTTAAATTGTTCTTTCTCTTCTTTTTTATTTTTGCTACATCACTTTTGGATTTTACACACATTTACTTTGGACTGCTGTAAAGCATTACTTTCTTTCTAGAGGAAACCTAATTATTTATTACTTCCCGTACGTAGAACATTCACCATCATTAATTTTTTAGAACAATTTAAATAGAGGGATGGATTTAATGTCCATAATTATGTTTGGTAACATATAGAAACGTTTCAGGTAATTTCCAAACCAAAACCCTTATACATATAGAGGGGAAAAAAAGAAGATCTTTTTTATTATTAACCCAAAGTTTCATCCTAATTTATTATGAAACACACTCGCTTTCAAAGTAATTTCTAAATCCAAAATGTTTCATGTTGAATTATTTTTAAATGCAGTATTTCCTCAGTTGATATGCAGCTAAGCTACTATGTTTATTAGTAGGCGAATTTGGGATTAAGTTGCAATATTTGTTATAGCAGTGACTATAGTTGGATTTTAGATGCTATATATGGTTGGGTTTACAAATAATATTTCATGGATACGCTAAGATTTAAGAGCGATTTTAGAAAATAATTAAACCACGGTAAAACTTTGGATATGCTAAGATTTAGAAAATAAACCAGGGTAAAACTTTGGGTTTATAAGCGATAAACACAAAAACACAAGATAGAATGTCTTGATTGCACGTACTTAAACCAGAGTGTCACCTGTTTTGAACTTCTATACCTAAAAGTTCACTTTTGCCCATTGGATACTCCATTATTGTTTCGGTATATATGGACTTCAACACTACTGTCCATTTGGCGACAGTTTGTTTTTCTGTTGAACTCAAATCGCTTACGCAACGCATGATTTGATTTTCGACACTTTATAACCCTATTCTCATTATAAACGTACGCTTCCAATACGGGTGAGAGAATTGACAAACTTAATTTACAGTCACGTCTTGTTTAATTTGGACGTTCACAATAATTTTTCCGTTGATTTTGAAGGCGTTAATAATTAATGACCGTTCAAATAAAAGCACGTGTTAAGTAGATCAGCATGGTCTACTCCGAATTTAACATAAAATAAACAGTCTCCGAACGGTATAAGTCAAATCTCTTGAAATGTTTTGACATCAAACCGGCAAGAACAAACTTTGAGGTAGTCTAGCTAGGGTACCAAAGTGCCTCTAGAAGAAACCCTAGAGTGTATTTCTACATGTAGGTAAAGACCAAACTACCCTCTTCCTTGTTTTATCTTTCGACAAAGATGCGGCCTGAAATAGCACGCGCATCTAGTTTCACTCAAATATGATGCCCATGCTTCAGCCGACCCTCGCTATATTTCCCCCTAGCCCTTCGTCCCTCTTCTTCCAACGGCACTCACTCACTCTCTCTCTCTCTCTCTCTCTCTCATGCAAGTAAGGCTTGAGTCCACTACTGCGACACAACTCTTGTTTCCTTTTTTAGTCATTTAGAGCAAAGGTTGAGAGTTAGTTTGCATTTCGTCATGGCCGAGGGTTTATCCGAATTTTTCGAAGCTGTAGAGTTCAGAAGCACAAACTTAACCGGAGCCGCCTCCCCCGAGAACCTCTTCAGCATGTTTGAGACTTTTGAGGATGCCACCACCGACCTCATTACCCTGGCACCGTTCGAGGAGGAGCCAAATTTAAGCCCGAAAGAGACCCAAAAAACACAAAGTAGCCCTACGTTGAAAAGGTCGAATACTCTCAAACTCAGGCTCGATGAAGTGGATGAGGATGGTGGTGATGAGGCCTCCTTGGCTCGAAAGAAGCTCAAGTTCGCCGCGGCAGTTTCCCTGGAGGAAGAAGTGCAGGACGGGCAGCAGAAGGTTTCGCACATCACGGTGGAGCGCAACCGGAGGAAGCAGATGAACGAGCACTTGTCGGTGCTTCGATCGCTCATGCCTTGTTTCTATGTCAAAAGGGTAAAAAATTATATATAACCACCTACCTTAATTATTATGGATAAATTGTATGAAACCTCGTTCATCCATATCCAGTTTTCGATTTTTAGTTTGTCCAAAAAATCAGTTTTTTTCACTATTTTAATTCTTCTTCTCGACTCTAAAAATATGCGGCTTTTGAAGTACAAACCTCTTCTCAGATGTCTGTCCACATGCAAACGTATAAAAAAACATTATGTTGTTTATTACCAATTTTAGATGAGGGGATTTGTTAAAAATGTTTTGTAGATGAAGCAAGTTTCTTGTAATTAAATGTAATGTCAAGGAAACCTATGATATATAATATTTTGCTACGTTGAAACTTCAGGGAGACCAAGCATCCATAATAGGAGGAGTTGTCGACTACATCAAAGAACTTCAACAAGTCCTACAATCACTAGAAGCCAAGAAGCAAAGGAAAGCCTACACTGAAGTCCTCAGCCCAAGACCGACAATCTCCAGCCCTAGACCGCCACAATTGCCATTAAGCCCAAGGCCCTCGCCCTTGAGCCCTAGAATAGGGCTCCCCATAAGCCCAAGAACTCCACAGCCATCAAGCCCTTACAAACTTCCGATAAGAGTTTCTCCTATTCATGAGTCTTCTTCATCCTTGGACACTGCTTCAAGTATCAATAACAGCGGTGAGCTTGCGGCAGCGGCGAACTTTAAGTCGCCGTTGGCGGATGTTGAGGTGAAGTTTTCTGGGCCGAATGTGATGGTGAACACGGTGTCGAGTAGGATTCCAGGGCAGATGACGAAGATTGTTGCAGCGCTTGAAGGGCACTCCCTTGAGATACTTCAGTTGAATATCAACAATATTGATGATACTATGATGAACTCCTTCACTATTAAGGTAAAAGTTCCTCTTCATTGAGATATACTTTTTAGTTGATATTTTTGTAGGTATTCGGACTGAGAATTTTCGTATGCATGTTTTCAGAGAATAAATTAATTACTATAATAGTTTAGCTTCTAGGGTTTAAATTAATTAAAGAGAGTTTTAACAAAATAATTTTGAAGATTAAAAATTAGAAGAATCTCCAATGTAACACATACATAGCCTACCCTACAAAAAGAAAAAAGAAAAATCAGTGAGTAATACAATAGATTATGCCATGAAAAAGCTAATATGAAGTTTAATATATTAGAATATCAAAACTCTTTACACATCGAGGTAATTCTCCTACAAGCACCATGCATTCATTATTATTTATTTTATCATCGTTAATATCAATAAATCACAAGGCTTTTCCTTAAAAAAAAAACAAAAATATACTTGATTAAGACAATATTGTTTGTGTAACCTAGCGTGATTATGACTTAGGATGAGCTCACTAAGATATTTGTACTGGCCTTCATTTTTTTTTGGGAGAAAAATAAAGCCACAGAGATCCCAAGCATTTCAGTGGGGGGAAGCTCATCTAACAACCTAGTTCTACAGAGATACCTAGAGCTATCATTGTGCTTATTTGAAACGGATTCGGATCCTCTCCACTACAAAAAAAACAGTGGAGGGACCACTACATAATCACGGTCATTGATTATCTAATTAATGGTTGTGATTTTTTCTTTTAGTGTAAATTAAGAATGAGTGCAATACACGGGGGTATGGTAAGTGTTAGATTTAGATTGTATCATAACCGCCTACTAAATAATCAACGATTGAGATTAAAAGCAGTGATCTCTCCACTACTTTTTTGTAGTGGAGAGGATCCAAATCCATTTGAAACAGGCAATATTTAGCCCTGCAAGTTGTATATTGTGACTGCACATCAGCATTTAATGAGTACATTCAAGTTGAGTCAGCTACCTACGTAAGTATTCAATAGCTTCACACTTTAACTTTGAAGTATAGAACTATAATTATTGATACATTCATCTTCCCTAGTTGATCATGCATATCTATATCCATATCATAATGATTATTATCCCCAAGATAGCAAGCCCACCGGAAACCCTATTGAATTCAGGAAAAAGGTCTCATGCAGCCATTAGTTAATTAGATCGATAATGAAGTAGTAGTAATTTTGTACTTTTATATAAACATATATACAAATTCAAAGTATAATAATTTGAGTCTCTCTTTTTCTTGATATATCTTATGTACAGATTGGAATCGAGTGCGAGCTCAGCGCAGAAGAACTTGCTCAAGAGATTCTGCAAACTTTCTCATAACACTACTTATGAACCAGCTGCAACAGTCGACCATTGTTCTTAACCTTGTTAGCTCTGTGACCTAGATATGTTGATCTCCGGTTTCCTATCTAACCGAAATTAATTGGGTTTAATTGCTGATGATAGACCTCTGTACTATATATGTATCGCCAAATTGCAGACAGACCCTCCGGATTCTCAACTCCATAGTTTTCCTATTTAGATTAGTTTTAAGTAATGATCATTATGGAAGTTTACAGTAAGTAAATCAGAATAGTAATATATATATATATATTATATATATATAATATATTATATAATAATATATAACTATAATATTATATAATATTATATATATATATATATAGAGGGAAAATATGGTTATGTTGCTACCGAAATAATCTTTGTGCTTGTAGTGAGTGGACCAATCCCTCTCACGCTCATTCAAATGGGGGATCACATTCACAATGATTTGCAGGAGTGGATGGGGCATTATGACACCTTACTAATCAAGCACCAATTTTGTGGCTTTTAGGTACCAAACTACCATTTCTCTCTCGTCTCTCTCCTCTCTCTCTATAATATATATAAGTATATTATATATATGTGTGTGTGTGTTGCTGTGTGTGTTTTTTTTTTTTTTCACTTTATGAATCCAATCACAACGTGAAACTAATGAAGTTGAGAATCGAGGGGGTCTACCTGCAACAATAAAGTACAGTAGTCTATCCGCAACTAGCCCAAATTAGTTAATTGTAGCGGTAGCAGTGAGATTGCGGGAGGCACCTACGATCAAGTCCAAGTGTAGTTACAACATGATGAACTCTAGTCTTTAGTTGTAACCAGTAATTTCGTGTAATTCTTCACTTTTTACATTAACTGCAATTTTTTAAGTCTTTTTCTTGGTAAGTAAGCTCTGAACCTTATTTACCTCTGATCAATGAAGTTCAACCGACTATATACAAAAAAGACTTTCAAACATAAAACTGAGAATCCTACATATCAAAATAAATAGAGTAAAAACCCAAGAAGCTCCTCCTCTGTTTAGAGAGGAAACTTGGCTCAATATGTCAAAGATGATCAGCTTCAAGCAATCCGCCATTAGCAGTCTTTTATTACGAAAGACTGTAACACTTCTATACGTAGCAGAAGCACTAAAACTGGGTTGTACTCCTCTCCAACTGATTCCAAGGTTTGACATCTAGGATCACAATGGCTCTGAGTTGTAGGAGTTTCCTAAAAACCCGAGAGTTGTATTTAAGATAGAGTCAGTCTTAAGCACAATATGTAAACCTAATCTTAAGCAAATCAAACTTTATTTGATTTGATCATCAATAAAACCAAGATCTTAGAACAATATGATTTTCACAATGAACAATTTAATTAAGTGATCATACCTTGATCCATGATTCGAATTTTGACGAAAATTTACTGCAAAGGGAGCAACATTCAAGACTTTGTTTTCTCTCTCTTTACCCTCTTATTCTTTTCCGAAATTTTCTTAATGGAGAGAAAAATTTTGCATGCCTAGGTAAAGAGAGGATCAAGTCTTTAAATAGAGAATTACCCACCTTTCATCAATGTGAGTAGTTAATTTATTGACCAATAGAAATTAACTAATGAGTAATTAATTTAACTAATGATAAAACATGACCACTAAATGAAACGTGGGTAGTTTCATAACTAAAATTAGTGGGGGAAAAAAGCGTGACCACTAAAAACATGGGCCACTAAAAATCTAACAGTCTCCCACTTGGCTCATGTTTCATAAATTAAAAACATGATTTTATAATACAACATAATATGCATGGTATAAGCTAATTCCATCATTATATATATTGATCAAACTATCAATCATCATTAAGTAGAAAACTAATAAGGATCTTGGCGGTCGTACGCAACTAAATCGACATAGTCCCTTCCATGTATCACAATATTAGTTTAAAAACATGATTTTATAATACAACATAATATGCATGGTATAAGCTAATTCCATCATTATATTGATCAAACTATCAATCATCATTAAGTAGAAAACTAATAAGGATCTTGGCGGTCGTACGCAACTAAATCGACATAGTCCCTTCCATGTATCACAATATTAGTTTTAAACTAAACATGACCTGTAATAAGACTTATCATAATGGTCCAACAATAATATCCTTGTCAGAGACATATCCTGTTAATGTTCACATAATCATTTATGTATATACTAACATATCCTGTTAACATTCAAATAATCATTTATGTATATACTAACAATAATAAACAGGATGCATTAAATATCAGAAACAATATTTAGATGAGCTCAAAGTGTCAAATATATAAAGAGCATGAACTTTACATAAAAGTTAGTAATAGTTTTTAATAATGCCCATTCTTTCAACATGTTCACCAAATGTCTTTGGAGGCAATCCTTTTGTTAACGGATCCGCAACCATGAGATTTGTGCTAATATGCTCAATTGACACTCTTTGTTTCTGAACTTCTTCTTTAACGACAAAGTATTTTAATTCCATATGTTTAGCACCCTTCGAATACTTGTCGTTTTTAGAAAAGAAGACTACTATCGCAATAAATTTTTAGCGGCTTGGCAATGCTGTCAACAACTCCAAGTCCTGAAATAAAATTCCACAACCATAATCCATAAACAGTGACCTCAAAGCACGCCACGAACTCAGCCTCCATAGTCGATGCAACAATGATGGACTGCTTCACACTTTTCCATGAGATTGCTCCTCCAGCTAAAAGGAACAGATAGCGAAATGTGGATTTTCTAATATCCAAACATCCAGCAAAATTTGAATCTGAATATCCAATCACCACAAGGTGATCATATCTCCTATAAGTAAGCATATGATCATTTGTTCCTTGCAAGTATCTCAATACCTTCTTTGCAGCCTTCCAATGATCCAATCCTGGATTACTTTGATATCTACCAAGCATTCCGCCAGCAAAACTAATGTCAGGTCTTGTACAAACCTGAGCATACATCAAGCTCCCAACGATGGATGCATAAGGAATGTGTTCCATTTGTTTGTGCTCTAATTCATTCTTTGTACATTGCATAAGACTGAATTTATCCCCTTTCTGAATTGGAACAATAGATGTAGAGCATTTATCCATCTTGAACCTCTCTAGAACTTTATTAATATATGATTTTTGAGACAACCCTAATAATCTTTGTGATCTGTCACAGAATATTTTAACTCCTATCACATAGGATGCTTCACCCATATTTTTCATTTCGAAGTTCTTAGAGAAAAATTTCTTGGTCTCGTGTAACAAGCCAAGATCATTTGTAGCAAGCAATATATCATCAACATACAGAATCAGAAATATAAACTTGCTCCCACTGATCTTTAGATATATACATCGATCAACGATGTTTTCTTAAAATCCAAAAGATGTGATAGTATCATTAAACTTAAGATACCATTGTCGGGAAGCTTGTTTGATCCCGTATATTGACCTTTTAAGCTTACACATCATGTGTTCCTTTCCTTCAACTGAAAAACCCTTGAGTTGGTCCGTGTAAACTTATTCATTTAAATTTCTATTTAGAAAAGCGGTTTTCACATCCATTTGATGTAGCTCTAAGTCATAATGAGCCATCATAGCCATAACAATTCTAAATGAATCCTTTTCGAAACAGGAGCAAATGTTTCTTTATAGTCAATATCATCCTTCTGAGTAAAACCTTTGGCAACAAGTCTAGCCTTGTATCATTTGATATTGCCATTTAAGTCGTGTTTGGTCTTAAAGACCCATTTACACCCAACTCTTTTACGACCTTTAGGTAATTCTACAAGGTCCCAAACTTCATTATGCTCCATTGATTTCAACTCATCTTTCATGGCATCAAACCATTTATCAGAATTGTGACTTTCCATGGCATGTAAAAATGAAACCGGATCTTCATCAATTCCAAAGTCATGTTCTGACTCTTGTAGATAAACCACATAATCATCAGAAATAGCTGATTTTTTGTCTTTGAGACCTTCTTAATGCTACTTCTTCATGAGATATATCTATTATAGGTTTATTGGTAATAACGTCTTCATGAAGTGTTTGATCATTTATTTGTTGTTCTTGAAAGTCGTTAAACTATTCAACAACTTGAGAAGAAGTTAAGGGTAAAGGAACGTTCATTCCAACTTCTTGGATTTCCACTTTATGTGGTTCCATACTCCTACTAATGTCACCATTTTCAATGAACCTGACATTTCCAGTTTTAACAATTTTCGTACTATGGCTAGGACAATAAAATCTATACCCTTTAGATTTTTCTGGATAACCAATGAAGAAACCACTGGTTGTTCTTGAGTCTAGTTTCTTTTCATGTGGATTATAAATTTGTATTTCCGCAGGACAACCCCAAACATGAATGCGTCTCAAGCTGGGTTTCCTTCCTGTCCACGGTTCGAAAGGAGTCTTTGGAACTACCTTACTAAGAACCCTGTTTAATAAATACATTACGTTTTTTAAAGCATACATCCACAATGATAAGGGTAAAGAAGAATAACTCAACATACTCCTAACCATGTCCATTAGTGTACGATTACGCCTTTCTGCAACACCATTTTGTTGCGGTGTACTTGGCATATTGTACTGAGCGCATATGCCACGCTTTTCAAGAAATTTAGCAAATGGACCAGGGCATTGTCTTGTTTCGTTATATTTTTCATAAAATTCACCACCCCTATCAGATCTAATAATTTTCACATTTTTGTCTAATTGTCTTTCAACCTCATTAATAAATACCTCTAAGGCATCTACTGATTGCGATTTTTCATGCAACAAATAGACATATCCATAACGTGAAAAATCATCAATAAAGGTGATAAAATATTTTTCTTTATTAAAGGATGGAACATCAAAATGTCCACACATATCGGTGTGTATAATTTCAAGGAGCTGAGTGCTTCTTGTGGCGGCTTTCTTAATTGTATAATTTGTATGTTTTCCTTTAATACAATCCACACAAATACCAAGATCGGTAAAATCCAAATTAGGAAGGATTTCATTCTTTACCAATCTTTATATTATTTCTTTGGAAATATATCCCGAATGTTTATGCCACAAATAAGCTAAACTTTTATCCACTAAACTTCGTTTAGTTCTAACATTATGATGCAAAGTTAACAGAGTTTCAGCGAAAAGATTATCAAGCTTTAATTTGTATAAACCATCAGAGAGAACACCAGAACCAATAAGATGATTATACTTAAACAAACT